TAATGACTCGATGTTTTACCTGAAACGAGTTAGGATTTCTCGTGAACTGCATCAAACTGAACATCATATTACAGCCAAATGGCTGCAGAACAACGGGAGTAAGTCTTGCCCTGGTTAGATCGACAAACGAATCTCTTCTACGAGAACTTATATACAAAATGAAATTCTTCACAGCAGCGTTATTTCAAGAAACTCATTGTGACCCAGTTATTCTTTTTATATTCATTTATTCACTTATCTGAAAGCCTATAAACTAATCATGAATTTTTAAATTTGAAAGATTAGGTAGATTAACTTAGTAGGATTCCATTCTTGTTAAGTGGTGTTGTGTCATAGTTTTGAGATTATTTGCGTAAATGCTGGTTTCTCTTTTTGTGAATGTCTATCACGGTGGGACAGGCGAAAGTTTACCATCGAGTTAGATAGCTTGGACTATTATTCGCAAAATTCGACACTCTTTACCTGTATCTGCGTTCCGAAGAGGCCATTGTATGCATATCCTCCTCCCATCTTTATCAAAGGGAATAAATTTAGGCCAACTCTATTCTTTAAAAGGAAACCTCGAAATGCTGCTTTTATTCATATCTTGACTTTGCTTAGCTGTGCATCGCAAACATTCGCCCCAAATTCAGGCTACAGCGCCCACGACAGTGCTTGAGCTGTATGGAATCTGGCCGCCGAATTCTGGTCGGGTCGGAGGCCGCATTCGGGTATGTAAAAGGCAGCTGTCTTGGGGAAAATTTACCGGGTAAGCCAGGCCATCAGCTTATGCTATCGTGTCCGCCTCGACCATCGGTCTCGGCTCCTAGAGGATGGGACGAGTGACAATTTACCCTAGAATCGAGTCAGTGTTTGGGCGCCTAAAAGATTTCGACAGCTTTTTGGCATGCAACCAGGTATAATCAGCACCTCATAACGAACAGTGATTGGGTCCGGCTTTATCAATTCCCACTTTCTGCGTGTGCAAGCAAGAACCGAGTGAGATTTTCTATGAAAATGTGCATATGTTGCCGCTTCAAACCGTTATAAAAGACAGCTTTGTTTACATTTGAGTCGTATGTACAGTATATATAGAGGCACCTGTGTAAGCGATGAACCGGTGACTGTCTGTAACGGGTCTGAGAGATCCACCGATTGAAGGGAGGGGAGAATTCGCCTACAGCGGTTGTCAGCGGCTTCGAGGACGGTAAAAAAGAAAGAAGAAAATCGCTGGGAGCAGCTGGTGGAAAGGAGAAGAGATGATGGGGCTGCGCCTCGCTATCGTCTCGACACCCAAAGGACAGAGGGTGTGTGAGGGAGAGATAAAGGAGACAGTTAAACGTGCATGATTAACCATGCTCATTCAAGTGTGTACAATAAAAGGGGGGGTCAGCGAGACGAGATTGACGGTGTGGAGAGATGTGGCTCAGATGAGTCGGGCTCATGCTCTCAGCTGAGAAAATGAGCTTTTAAGAAGCATGAAATTGAATGAAGCATGCTTTAGGGCGGAAATGTGAAAGGAGCTATAAAGACCATGTTATTGAGTGCTTGAAGAGATAGATACATACACAAGGCAATGGATTGAAAAGAATGGCAGAAATGAATAAATGAGAAATTGTATCGTGGCCTAGAGATTTGAGGTATCTACTCCGAGTGGCGGTATCACGTGGCATTTCGGTGTGGATGTAATTGACGCGACTGTGGAAGTGCAAACTCCAAGCCTAGTCTTATGTTGAGAATGCGCTGATCTAATCATCATTGATGATAATAAAACCTGCATTTGCCATTATTTTCATGCTAATCAGTGGCATTCAAAGACCAGATAGATAAGTAGTTAGCCAGACGTACAGACTGGTGAATATACCTAGTTGGTGAATAGATGGATTAAAAGATATTGCGATGTGGGCAGATGTATAAATATATGAGTAGTAAGAAGGATGGAAAGGTGGATGGGTATATAGAAAGAGAGAAAGAAAGGAAGAAATAAAGAAATAAAGCAAGAAAGAATGGCATAAAGATAGATAGATAGATGGATGAATGGATGGATGGACAAATATTTGAATAGACAGATAGAGAAATATTAGTTGGAAATATAACTATGCGTGTGGAAGTATAGATGGAGATGCATGTAAATAGATAGGAGGATAAATAAACGGCTGAATAGACTAATGGGTTGCGAGTAGTTGTTGATACGAGCGACAAGAAGGCGAGAAGGTTGTTTTGGCTGAGCTTTTTGGTATCTGGCCTCTTGACCTCAGTGGTTGATGACCATCTTTGTGCTCAAGGTGAGACGATTCAATGTCAGTTTTGCTTAGTTGAATTGACACGGTACTGCTGTGGAGTGAGGACGATCTGCTCAACCGCTTGCTTGTGGCCTCGCCTGCAACATGCTTGAGGCTGGCATGGACGAAGTAAAGGCACCGGCGGCGGTGGCAAAGTGAACCATTTCGAGTTGAGCGAATTCGTCGAGGCGACTGTTCGGCAACATGGCACCATCGGACGTCTTGACTGCACTCGATCGCATCGTATCAACTGTTCGTTGCGAATAGGCGAGGCTGGACGACGTGACAGTGGCACTTTCGTGATGTTTGACGTCGAGCCAGTCGAAGCCGGGCCCATCGGTTGGCGGATGTGGCGAAGGCCAGACGCCAAGCCGACCGGACGGAGTGATCAATTTCATGAAATTGGGCTCCGTGCCGGTCGACGACTTGTCCGCGAGTCGAGTCCCCGGCACCCGAAGCCGTGGAGCAGGGTACTGAGGCGAAGGAGCCACGGCGAATTGGAGGTAGTCGAGGGGATAGCCTCCAGCTGACGGAGGTGCGGCTCCGGTGTTGACATCGGCGTTGACGTCGCCGTCGCCGTTCACACCGTCGACGGCCTCTGGCACAAGGGACTCCGGGAAGGAGGCCTGGTAAAGCATCGCGGTGTGTAGGGGGGGACGTGAGCCACTGTCCCGGCTCGGTCTTGCCGTCTCTGCAAATGCAAGGCCGGCTGGCCAGGCCGGACCATCGGCTACGGGATAGCCCGAAGGCGTCGACATTCGCTCGGCCGAGTCCTCAGGCAGCCGGCCGAAGGCTGGACAACAGAGTTGCGGCGGCCGGTGGAAGGGCGAGCTTGGGGTCGGCTCGGAGTTGAGCTGTTTGGTGACACGCCGATGGATCCGATCGGCGACTGGCGACGACGACGATGACGACGTCGACGTCGACGACGCCGACACGGACGAGGAGGTGGAGGCGACAGCGTTTGGGGAGGAAGCGGCTGACGATAATGAGCTTGACCCCTGCGGCTGGTAGGGCGTGGGTAAGATGAGCGAAGAGGTTGGGCCCGAAAGGCAGCTGGACTGGCCTTGAACCTGGGCCTGGGGCTGAAGAAGACGGGCATCTGAACTAGCCAAAGACATTGGGTCGGTCGAGGCATAGTCTGCCAGCAGGTAGGTCGAGTTGCCATGGCGATATACGGGCGTCTGGGGCGAAGAGGCGTAGTAACATGCGGTCGCGGGGTAGGAGAGTGTGTGTGCCAGAGGGTAGACATCGGTAAAGTAGCCGTTGCTCGGCATTGCTGATCGCTCTAGTCCGGAATGCTGGCCTTCGGAAGGACTGCCGGGTTGCCTGGGAAACATAACATCTCGATGCGTCAGGTCGTCGACGAAGCTGGCCGGCGGCTGGAAATAGAGGCCCAGTTTCGCATGCTCCTCGACGTAGACATTTGTTTCTCCCTCACTCTCGCCCTCCCCCTCCTCTTCCTCCTCCTCCTCCTCCCCCTCCTCCTCTTCGTCTTCCTCCTCGTCATCATCCCCATTTTCCGAGAGTCCAGTAATGGAGCCGACCCCTCCGATTTCCTCTCTCCTCCTCGGCTGGCTCCTGTCACCTTCATCGTCGCCGTCGCCGTCACCGACTTCGTCACCCGCCTCATCACTCTTTACCGCTCCACAATTCCGTGCAACGAAGCAGCGGTCCGATAGGCAGTAGGGGTTCGTGGAGCCCTTCTGGAGGGAGGATAGGAAGGAAAGAGTGGCATTTCCCCGATCGCTGCCAGACTGATCGCTGGTCTTTCCTCCTCCCAGTCCGCAGGTGGGCGTCGAGATGCTGTTGACCGAAATGGTGCTGCTGTCCAACTGATTGCTTAGACCGCAACTGTTGCCGTTGCTATGGTTGTTGTTGAGGCTAATGTGGTCGGTTTTGCTACTGCCTACAATCGCCTCAGGATTGGACACTTTCTGAGCTTGTCTGACAGTTTGTCGCGCGGACGCCTCGTATTTGGAGCAGGAATGGTCAGAATCGGAGCTGCTGGCACTCGTGCTGTTGCTGGCCTTGTTAGCTCCACTGCTGTTGCCATTTGTGTTGCTACTTTCGGCACTGTTGTTGTTGGTTTTCGGGGACCAGGTCATTTTATTCTCTTTTTTTAGGCGTCTTCGAGCATTTGCAAACCAGGTTGAGACCTGAAAAGCGACAAACAAGGTAAGAATATTAATAGTAAGTAAGTAGTAAGTGGTGACATGTTAAAATTGTACGCTACATTGCCGGGTTCGATTCCCAGTGAAGTCAAAACTGCAGTCAAGTCCAGCCGGGATGAAAATAATTGTTGAAAGGCAGGGATAAGTGAAGTTAAATAGGAAAATTAGATCTTCTCTCATAATTATGAAAATATTCAATTATCAACTTCATTACTTTATGCGAGCTAGAGTTAGAAGAACTTTAATTCAAGGATTAAGAGCCTTAATTCTTTGGGCCAAACGAAAATAATGGTGGCCTGGTTACCCATAAGTCAAAATAACAAGCAAA